AGCAGGCATGGTATTTTAATCAGATATATGTTTAGACAGTGAAACATTTACATTTGTCTTGGAGGACTGTGGGCTATGAAGACATGCGTTTGCTGGAAATGCTGTCATTAGCCGAGGGACTCCGGATGGGGACTGCAGAGACAGCTGAGTCTTATAACTCACCAAAGATTATTGACAGGCACTCTAATTATCTTTACGTATTGCATTTTATTTTGGATTGAGTAACTCATGCAAGACCATAATTAAGGTCTCATTGTTTTGAAATAGAGCACGCAAGGGATGATTAAGACTTGGATTTTCCAATGAAGGATGCATTTGCATTTTGGTATTTCCTGTACGTTATCCTGAGGTCCCTTGCTTTTGGTCAGAAGTCGCTCTCAGCAGCTTTACCTTTGGGTGCCTTGGTGGCTGAGCGGGCTGCGACCGGCCCACAGCTGGTGCTGGTGGCCGAGCGTGGTGGTGCCAGCTGGGGAGCGGAGGCGGGGAGCAGCCCGTGGCTGTGCGCGGCATCCCGGGGACGAGGTGCTGGTCGTGGTCCCGGGGGGGGTCACACACGGGGCAGGAGGTGGCAGGAGATGGGCGGGCAAGGAGAGGCGGCCTGAGCAGAAGCCGCCGTTAGAGCTGGGGCGGGTTCCTTTCTCTGTTGCTGTGGCACTGTGTGCTGATAGCAAGGTTTGGTTTTAAGAAGGTGCTCAGAGCAGGGTGAGAAGCAGAAGGCGCATTTCAAAGGGACCTTGCACGTTGGTGGTGTCCGTGGTCCCTGTGTCCATAGCACCCGTAGCATGACAGAGGAGCAGCCCTGGGGGGTCCCCGAGGGCGCAGGGCTGTCCCAGTGCGTGGCGGCCGCTGGGGATGGTGGCTTTGGTCACGCTGAGCTCAGGCAGTGCGGGGGCCTCTGCGGCTCCGTCAGACCAACACCGCGGTGACAGAGCCATGGCCAGACCCTCCTCCTTCCCCCGGGAGCCGGTTTGGCGGGTGCTGCACAGCCTGGGCAGGCTGGCTGCTGGAAACAGGCAGGGCTGGGGCTCTCAAAAGATGCGCCCTGTGTTTTGTAGACCCAAGAGGAGGAGTTGTTTGGCAATAATGAAGAGAGCACTGCCTTCAAGAACTTCTTAAGTTTTCTGGGAGACACGATAACACTCCAGGACTTCAAAGGGTAAGTTAAATAAAAGGAATGATTTTACAAACACATTTAACCAGAGACCATGTCATATGTAAAAATATCTACCGTGCGAGAACAGAAGTCATCTCACCCATGAGCGGGATGTACCGAGCAGAAGCAAATATAGCTTTGGCTTGTTTTTCAAAGCTGGGGGAGTTTTCCAAAAAAAATTGGAGCTGCCAAGAGAAAAGAACTTCCTTTCTTGCAGTTTTGAGGTTGTAAGAAAATCTGGCTATAGATGAAAGGAACTTCATATGGAAATGTGCCCTGTCCGGTGTTGCGGGCTCAGTCACAGCGCGGGCAGAGACCCCCCGCTGCTGGCGAGGGCCGTGGGCTGGCAGGCGCGGGCAGCCCGCCGTGGCAGTGCTTGGCACCGCCGGTCCCATGGCTGGCACCCACCGCTGCGGGCAGCTCTGGGCCACCCG